ACAATTTTAGGCGTTGGCCATTAACTTTGAAAACTCTTTCAGAATCTTCTTCCATAATCTCAATTGCTCCATAAAGTGTAATAGCAACCACCTTAAATGGACTAGCTAGATCTCAGCTTTCCTAGAAACAACTTCAACCGAGTATATAATAAAACAAGTTGTCTGGGTTTAAAATTCCTAGGTAAAATATGGCTTTCATGCAATCTCTTGGTCTTTTTCTTATAAATCCTAGAGCTTTCATAATCTTGCAACCTGAACTCATCTAAGCTGATTTAGTTGCATCAATCTCTTCTCACCTACTTTGCTCATGTTAAAGTTTAATTTCTTAATAGCCCAAAATGCTTTGTGCTCTAGGTCAATGGGTAAATGACAAGCTTTCCCAAACACCAATTCATATGGGAACATACCTATTGGAGACTTGTAAGCTGTCCTGTAGGCCCACAATGCATCATCGAGCTTATCTACCTAATCCTTCTTAGTAGGACTCACAGTCTTTTCCAAATTTCTTTTTAACTATTTATTAGACACTTCACACAACCCATTGTTTTGAGGATGGTATGCCAAAGATATTTATGAGTGACTCCATATCTTGTAAGTAAATTTGTGAACAACTTATTTTAAAATGAGTCCCTTCATCACTAATGATTGCTTTAGGTGTGCCAAAACGGGAAAAAAATATTCTTTTTCACAAAACGCACAACCGTGTTAGCATCATTAGTGTGGCATGCTATGGCCTCCACCCATTTGCTCACATGTTCAATAGCTACTAGGATATACTAATCACCTCTAGATGAAATAAAAGGTCCTATAAAATCTATTCTCCATACACCAAACAATTCAACCTCAAGAATACTTGATTGAGGCATTTCATGCCTTTTTGAGATGTTGTTGACATGCATCACAATGAGAAAAAAAGGCATAGGCATCTTTAAATAGAGTTGGCCAATAATAACAATATTGTAATACCTTACAAGCAGTATGAGAACCACTAAAATGGCCTCCATAAGGGGCAACATGACAAACATACAAGATATCACATTGTTCATTTTGAGGCATACACTTTCTTAAAACCTGATAAGCACATCTCTTATACAAGAAAGGTTTATCCCACATAAAATATTTCACGTCATGCAAAAACTTCTTCTTTTAGTACAATTTTAAATTAGGTGGAATCACTCCACAAACTAAAAAATTTGCAAAATGAGCATACCAAGGAAATTCATTACATTTCATAGCAAACACTTGTTCATTAGGGAAGTTATCATTAATTTCAAGTACTTCCAACTCATTTTCTAACCTAAACAAATGATTAGCCACATAATTCTCACACACTTTCTATCAATTATCTTAATGTCAAATTTTTGTAACAACAAAATCCATCTAATTAGCCTAGGTTTAGACTCCTTCTTACTCATAAGATATTTAGTAGCAGCATGATCAGTAAACACAGAGACTTTAGCACCCGTCAAATAAGCTCTAAACTTTTTATAAGCAAACACAATAGCAAACAATTTTTTTCAATAGTAGTGTAATTTACCTGAGCACTAGAAGAGTCTTACTTACATAGTAAATGGGAAGAAAGATCTTATCTTTCCTTTGTCCAAGGACAGCTCCAACCGCATAATCGCTTGCATCACACATCACCTCAAAGGTAATGAACAATCCAGAGCAACAATAATGGGAGCAAAGATCAACTGTCTGTTAAGTTCTTCAAAAGCCTTAATACACTCTTTATCAAATTTAAATGAAGTGTCTTTCTCAAGTAACTAGCACAAAGGCTTAGTGATCTTTGAAAAGTCCTTGATAAATCGTTGATAGAAACTAACGTGACCTAAGAAACTTCTTATAGCTTTGACATTAGATAGGTAAGGGAGTTGCTCAATAACTGAAGTCTTTACTCTATCTACTTCCAAACCCTTCTTAGAAACTTTATGCCTAAGAACAATGCCCTTTGTTATCATGAAGTGGCATTTTTTTTAGTTGAGCACTATATTTGTTTCCTCACATCTCTTTAAAACTCTCTCCAAATTTATCAAGCAAGTATGGAAAGATTCACTAAGCACTAAAAATTCATTAATGAAGACTTCCATAATCTCCTGTATTGTGTCTGAAAATAGACTCATCATGCACCTTTGAAAAGTAACTGGTGTATTATAAAAGCCAAAAGGCATTCTTTTAAAGGCAAAAGTGCCATATGGACAAGTAAACATTATCTTCTCTTGATCCTCAGGGGCTATAGCAATTTGATTGTATCCTGAGTACCCATCTAAAAAGCAGAAGAATTCCTTACCGGCCAACCGGTCTAACATTTGGTCAATGAATGAGAGAGGAAAATGGTCTCTTCTTATAGCATCATTCAATTTTTTATTGTCTATGCACACTCTCCAACCTATGACTGTACTAGTAGGTTGGACAAGTAACTGGTGTATTATAAAGGCCAAAAGGCATTCTTCTAAAGGCAAAAGTGCCATATGGACAAGTAAACATTATCTTCTCTTGATCCTCAGAGGCTATAACAATTTGATTGTATCCTGAGTATCCATCTAAAAAGCAGAAGAATTCCTTACCAGCCAACCGGTCTAACATTTGGTCAATGAATGAGAGAGAAAAATGGTCCCTTCTTATAGCATCATTCAATTTTTTGTTGTCTATGCACACTCTCCAACCTATGACTGTACTAGTAGGAATGAGCTCATTTTCCTCATTAGAGATTATTGTTGTGTCCCCTTTCTTAGGAGCACATTGCTTAGGACTAACCCATGAGCTATTAGAGATTGAATGTATAATCCTAATATCTAACCACTTAATCACCTCCTTCTTTACCATATCTTTCATTGTGGGATTAAGTCTTCTTTGATTATGAACATATATCTTGTGATCATCTTGCATCAAAATCTTGCACATCACTATAGTAGGACTAATTCCCTTTATGTCAGCAATAGTCCAACCCATAAACTTCTTGTAGTTCTTCAACATATTTAACAATTGTGCCTCTTGTTCTTGAGTAAGTGATAAAGATATAACCATTGATAGTGTCTCAGAATTTCCAAGATAGGCATATTTCAGATGAGATGGGAGTGGCTTCAACCTAGTAGAGGAGGTTTTTCTGAAACAAGGTTGAACAGTAGGAGTAGTTCATGATTCTAACTCTAAAGATTCATATTGCCAATGCCTTTTAGGAAATAATGAAGAAGCATTTATAGCTTGCTTAACATGGACATAGTTTACCTCTTCCCTTCTACTTTTTCTAATTAGTATGGCTTTAAGAGGATCTTGAAAAGCATGAGATTCAAAAACATCTTGGACTAGATCTTCAATAATTGAAATCTTTGCACAACCCTCCACTCTAGCGGGTACTTCATGGCTTTATCCATACTCAATGTGATTTTCTCATCACCAAGCCTTAAGACAATTTCTCCTTTTTCTACATCTACCAAGGCTCTAGCTGTAGCTAAAAATGGCCTACCAACAATTAATGGTATTTCTTTATCTTCTTCAATGTCAAGGACTATAAAATCAGTAAGGTAAATGAAAGTACCTACTTTTAGCAAGACATATTCAATGATTCCATGAGGATATAAAAGACTTCTATCAGTTAACTGTAGTGTGACAGTTGTAAGATTTGCCTCCCTTAATTGAAATTTCTTAAATACATATAAAGGCATGAGGTTCATAGCAGAGCCAAGATCACATAATGCACGGCCTTCCAATTTTTCACTAACGAGACATGGTATAGAGAACGAACCAGGATCCTTAAACTTGAGTGGAATATGTGGCTTCAGAAGACTAGTGGGTTCCTTAGTTAAAGCCATTGTAGCAAATTTGGTAAATCTCTTTTTCTTACTCAAAATATCTTTTGAGAAACTTGGCATACTTAGACGTTTGCTCCAATGTATCAGAAAATGAAATGTTGATATGGAGTTGTTTAAAGATATCAAGAAACTCAAAGTATTGTTGATCCTCCACTTTCTTTTGAAAATGCTTGAGGGAAAGGAAAGGGTAGCACCACTTTAGGATGCTCAATTGTCTTACCCTTCCCTTTGCTAACTTTAACTTCTTTATTCTTAGCAAGAGAATTCTCAAAATTTACCCTTTCATATTGCACCTCCTTTTGAGGTTGGTCAATAACTTGATTAGTTGAAGAGTCTTATGAATGACATACCTCTAGTAATTACTTTCCACTTTTTAAAGTAATTTCCTTATACTCTTCTTTCCTTTCCCTACAAGGGTTAGGCACATATTGCTTGGCAATCCACTTTGAGACAATGTATTCAAAGTAATAGCCATCTAAGTTATTCGCACATCAAGGTTCTTGAGAAATGAATCTACTCTAGCATGTATGGTAGCTTGTTCTTGACTGTTCTTTATATGAGATTATGCCAACTTTGCCATCACTTCTTCCAAGTTAACTCTTGACTCCTGAGTTGGCATAACTTGCTTTCTAACTTGTAAGAAACTAGGAGGATTAGTTTGCCTTGCACTAGAAGATGAAGCTTGATTTAGAGTTACACTATTTCTCCTAGAGAGGTTAGGATTTTGACGCCATCCAGCATTATAAGTATTTGAAAATGGATTGAGTTGATTGTTAGTATAGTAATTTCCAATATAGTTTATCATCTAAACTTGTTGAGAAAGATGACGTTGTTCAATAGCATGTGCATCTCCATATTAATCACATTGAGCATATATGGAATGAGATCCTAATGGCCGATTGTTGTTTCGATGAACTCTTGCTTCTTATTGGTCAAATCTCTTACTAAGAGTTTGAAGCAAGGCTACCACTTAGGAAGATGAAAAGTCATCAACAACTCTTTCTAATGGTCTCCTAAGTCTTCTCTCATTATCATTTTGGATGTAATCAGTAGCAAGATCATCTAAACAATTCCAAATATAGTTCACTGGTTGTTTTGTAATCCCACCATTAGTGATTGAATTCATTTCAGACTTGGATTCAAGTGTCAACTAGCTACTAAAGACTTGAATCAAAACCCATTTCTCTTGATTATGCTCAGGACTCTACTTCATCAATTGTTTAAACCTTTCCCAAGCTTCATACAAGTGTTCATCAAATTGTTGATTAAAATTGAGAATGTTGTCTCTAGAATCGACCATCTTGTTGTGTGGGAAAAATCTTGATCTGAACTTGCTTTCCATTTCATCCCATCATGAGACACTATCTTCATCCAAATTGTTGAGCCAATCTGTAATGACAAAAAAAACATTAAAGTAAATAATTTTTCTTCCTTATTGAGATTTTATTTAATTAATTTAGTTATAATACGTGAAGATTAGTGGCCTAGTGAAATTTTTACTAGTTATTCATATTGAGGTCTAAAGTTTGAATCTTACTTAAGCTAGGGGTTAGTTTTATTTTCTTATATGGGAAATTACTAAAGTACCATTGTTTTTATTATAAAAAAAATTATAATAGCAATAAGAAAAAAAATCTGATGGGGTCTCCTTTTGAAATTTTCCCCAACAAGCTATGGGTCTTGTTTTGTAATTTTCCTAATGAGCTAATTATTTCATTATCTCCCTTCTTCATGTCGGTCATGAGCAGCACAACAGAGTGAGTGCGTATGTTCGCGTCTATCTCTATTTCTTTTCTCCTTCCTCGTCGCATAGTCTTCAATCTTGCCTGGGTGTGCTTATCTCCTCACCACCAGCAACTCACCAATCCTTTGCCTCTGTTATTCGGCCATTTCTGTCCAGAGGCAAAGCTGAATCTCTTACTCTGTTTCTGCTCTATGTCGTGGCTGATAGAGGCGTGCGTAAGAGTGTTCGGTTATCTCTTTTCTTCCTTCTCAGCTATAGAAGTCCCGCATGTGTGTGTGTGTATGGTAGCTGAATCTTTTAATTGTTGGATGAAATTCTGTCTTCCTTTTTCTCATGCGCACAGCGATCGAAACTCTTTTCTTTCCCTGTGCAGTTCGTTAGGTGTGTGTGCCAGTTACTATCGTGTGTTCCTGTCACTGAGAGAGCGTGGAGTTATTAGAATTCATTAGCTTGTCGTTCCTTGTGGCTGTCTCTGTTCGAGGTTGACAGCCGTGCGTGTACTCGTGCTCAACATGTAAGCTCTCTTTCTCTTCAACCACTGGTGGTGCATGCGTGTGTGTATGAAAGTTTGATTTAATGTTTTTCTTTGACTGGCCGATTTTCGTTGCTCTTTTTTACTGGTGCTGTTATGGTTTGTGAAGGAGGTGTTGGGTTGTAGCTATGGTCTCGTGACTTAACCAATGGAGAGTGCCTTCAACATGTTTGTGGAAAAGCTTGAACGGAAAATTTAGGTGTTGTTTAGATAATAGGTGTGCTATTTTACTAATGCCAAGTTAAGAATTAATAAAGAAATTAAATGTTAGAAATTGTTGGACTTTGCTTGGGTGTTTGCCTCATAGTTTAATTGATGATGAATATTCTCTTAGAGTCGATAAATATGCTTAAAAGATTTGTTTGTAGATATAAGATTGTTAAATTTTTATAATAGAGTTTAGAAGAATTATAAATGTTATTTGAGGAAGTACATGTTTCTACATGCAAGTAGTAAAGTTAAATTATTTATTGAAATCGTGTAGCACCTAAAGGAAAATTATTAGACTATATAACAATTAAAATTTTGTTAAGCTTATAATAAGAGTTTTGTTAATGGTTGTGAGTGAATATTGTCTAGTATTATTGATTGTTTGGTAGAAGTTGTTGAAGAGTTTGGTGGGAATTTAGGGTTTATTGAGAAATTTAATGAATAATTGCGTAGTTTGAATGTTAATTTCACTTACTTATATTAAGAAGTGAAATAGTAGTGATGTAAAATGCATGGTGTACACGTTAGATTAATTTGAGGCACCATTGAAGTAAGTAAGGAACTGACGGAGTCTGACTATAAGATTTCTAAAAAACTCAGGTGAGTGGGTGGCGTTCCGAATATAATTTCAGTAAAGTGTTTATAAAAATTTCTTTATTTAAATATTATTATTATTATTATTATTATTATTATTATTATTATTGCTTTATAAATTGTTTACATATTCTTGTTAATCCTATTTTCATATTACTGGTATTATTTCTCATAAGCAATTTAATTATTTAATCCTACATTGGTATAACATTTTTATTGCAATGATTTGTGTATAGAGGAAATGATGATAATTTTGGGTAATGAAAAATGATAGTTGAATAATATTTGAAAGTGAGAATTTTGAAAATATTTTTCTTTCTCCATACATACTTGATTTTAATGAGGGGGACTGAGTTTAGAATGCTGGATGCTAACGGCAAATTCATTAGCCCTTGGCGCACCATGGTTCACATAGCTAGCAGGGTGATTATAGGAGGTGCTAGCCCGTGTGAAGGTCAACGCATGTGGATCGGAAGGATGGTATTCGTGAGCACTGTACCCACACTTATTTTCATGGACTTCATACCTGCGCTTGATTCGTGACTTTTGTCACACTTGTTTTGTGGCTTTTAGCCATGCTTGATTGGTTATTTACCTTCGTGGATTTTATGTCCATGCTTGTTATTCGTTTTGATAAAGCTCTCCTAGATTTAGATTAAAATTTATTATTTTTGTATTAGTTCTTTGAAAGGATTCTATCTAATTGTACCAATACTTAAGATGATTATATTCTATGAGCTGTACAAATCTTGATAAATCTATATCGTTTTATTAGTATTGTTTAATTTCAAAATTGTATTATTGAAAAAGAATTGTTCTTTATTTTTAGTTCAAGTATATGCTTTGGTATTTGATGATATTGTTTTACACTAAATCTATTAGTCTTATCTTCATAATTGTTATGTATAATTTTAATTGGAATGCTACTCATTATAAATTTCTTTGGTCTAAGATATTGTAACAGACCCTGCGCCTCTAGCAGATTATTGAGGGCCTTTAGTTTGCTTTTTGGAAAAAGAAAAAGCACATTGCAACTATTGTTTTGGTAAAACTAAGTATTATATTTTGTAATTATAACTTAGTGCTTCATGTAAACCATAGTTAGGTCCTAATCTTATTCCGTTATTATGTAAATTGTTGGGATGGAGCTAGTCTCCTTGTTGGTCTAATTGGCAGGTTCTGTCGTGTTATGAAAATTTTGGGAGGTCCGAATTATAGGGGAGATTTTGCTGAAATTTCTACAAAATATTTAAAACTTTATGAATTTATTATTTCATATAACTTATATATCGATATTTTAATCTAACCTTTGGCTAATTCAGGCTTATGGAATATGAGTTTACCTCATATTTCAAGCCGGTCATACCCTCAGTGTCAGGGTGTGACATAATCCTTAGCTTTCCCTTGTAGAGAGTAAGGGAAGAGTCATAGACGGATGACATCTTGAAGAACTCCATTTTGCTTGAATGAGTCGCATATATTAAGGAAACTTACCAAATGTCTATTAGGGTCCTCATCTTGATTTCTCGCAAATTGCCCATTCATGTCAATCATCTTAAGTTTGCTTAATCTCAAAGTTGTTAGCTTGGAAGTCAGGCACTTTAATTCTAGACTGATATCCTCTAGCTTGTCTATCCAAGAAATTGGTAACACACAACCTATTATTCTTATCCTCAACCATCTCTTCATTTGTAACTTTTTCACTTGTCAGAGGTTGAGGTGAGGTGAAATAGCTTCCAAGATTTCTTTGAGACTCTTTGTTCTTACAAGTGTTTTTTTTTTTTGACCTAGCTCTATGTGGCATGTAAAATAGTCTAGCAGAAACTAGAAAAGATCAAAGATCTAATTGAACAAAACAAGAGGAAACAAAAGAAATACTTAAGCGTACTGCTAATCACCAATTGCCTTAAGTTCTCGGCAAAAATGCTAAAAACTTGATGCCTATAAAAATTAAGAGACGCCGCAAGTGTATGGGTCGCAATTGAAGCTAGTGGTAAATCAAGGTTGATCCCTAAGAAAATTAATTAAAATGGTGACTAGGCTTTAAATTTCTAAATTCATTCACGTTAAGCTAATAAAACTTGAGATTGATTTTAGAAAAATTAAAATAAAAATATTAAAAGTGATCAATTAAACAACTTTCAATCCACAAACAAACTAAAGTTAACCAAAAGAAGAGCGTTCTAGAGTCTCAATCCCCTATTTTCTTCCTAACCCTCTCATTTCCGCATTAGTTATTTTGAAACTCAATTTTAATAATCCAAAAATCTAAATTAATCCAAAGTATATTCCTATTACTAAGGACCTTAATTAATTCAATTAAAAAAATTACCTTAATTAATTAATTACATTAGAGATCCTAACCCATGAGGATTACTTAGGTCCATTAGATACATTCCTGTTCTAATAGCAAAATTAGCTAAACTAATCTTAGACTACTAGTTTTTTCAAGGTTCAATTTGAGTTTCTTCTTCTAAGGTTCAACCCAAATGCTCAAGTCTTACCTAGTAGTGGCTAAACACTAAACAAGAACGAGTAATCAAAACTTTATTTCTCAACAACTAAACGGTAATAAAAAATTATTTACACAAATAGATTCATAGTTCCCTATAACAAAAAGATTTAGCTATACATAGCTGATATAAACATAGTACCAGCACAGAAAAGATTCAAATCCATGAACATAGAGAAAAAGAAGAAGAGAAAACACTGATGAAATGAAATAGAATGAAGATTTACTCCACTTCTTCTTGATCCCAAGCTTTAAGACTTCTCCTTTTGCTCTCTTAGGGCTTTTTCAAGTTGTAGTAGCTAAAAGATGCTATCTTCCAGTCCAAAAAATGAGTTATGTAGGGTATTTTCGCATAGAAAATGAAATTGTGTGTTTTTGCATTTTCATCTAGTGCCATGGCACTCCTTCTATGGTGTCATGGCATCAGTAAGCAATTTTAAAGAAAATTTTAATAGTACGCAGGAACTTTTGCTTTTGTATCTTGGACTAAAAATCACATTTTTCTTATCTCTTATCTCTTTCTTACTTTGACATTGTTATACCCCACTTATCCACAATTAATAAATATGAATATAATATTTGCTTACTTCAATTTTCATCATTTTAAACAATTTTCCTAAAAAAATGTTACAATAAATCCACATGAGGCACTTAGTTAATTTTCTTTATAAAAGCAAGAAAATGTTTCTCTTTTTCATTGAT